GCATCGTTCACCTTCTCTAATGGGTTGTATGGTTCATTTCCGGCCTTGACCAAAAACGCAGAGTTTGATGATGATTCTTTCGACTCAATTAATATCTCGACATCCTTGGAATCATCAGGAATTTGACCATCACTTCCTGCCACACCTGCATCCTTCTTCGGTTCCTCCTGCACCAAAAAAATGTCAAATTATTTTACATTCATATTTAAAACCTTAAAGATATATGTATATAATTTATTAACAACAGCCTCTATAACTTACTTGATTTTCCATGGTAGAGGCGGTTATATCCTCTTTATCCTCAAAAATAACTCTTCTTTTAATAGATTTATTCTCTTTTATGGGGACAACATCCTCAGGTTTTTGAGACTCACTTACTCCCACATCAAAATTATTTTTTGTTTCCTCCTGAAAAATATATTTAATTACTAAATCAAACAAATAGAAAGCTTATATTGAAATAATTGAATGATATGTAAATAACATATATAGACTTACAAGATTTTGAGGAGCAGATGCGGTTGTTTTAGCCTCATTAACGATAGTGTTGTTATCTCCTCCCAAAATGATATCTGCTTTCACCATTGGTTCAACCTTATCGAAATAACGTACACCACCATCAGTTATATGTACGCAATAACGCTTATGTACGTACATCATATGTATAGAACTTATAAGTTAATTTAATAAACACAGTTACCTCGATGACATTGGTACCAGCAGTTACATCAACAGAGGTTCCCAACTCTTTTAGTACCTGATGAATACATAATATTTACTTTGTTACTATGTTACATTAATGAGGAACAAAATTATTGTACTAACATATAAGTAACTTACAGTGTATACGATTACAGAAGACGGTGAAGGCGTAGAACTAAGGTTGCCATCAACGGCAATAGCCCCTCCAGCATTCCTCTGACCAGCAATTGTAGGTTCATCAGCCGGAGAAGCCTACAATTGGTTCATTACTCATTAGTTAAGGGGTAGGTCATTATTATCTGTCACTCAAAGTTTAACATTGACTTGATCATACCTCCAATTCGTCAGCTCCACGTTTTGGGGAACTAGGAGCATTAAACAATTCTTGATCATCTCCAACGTTGCTTTCCTCCTGATGCAACATGTCCTGATCATCTCCAGTTTTGGTTTCATCCTCAGGCAAGACGTCCTCATCATCTCCAGTTTTGTGTTCCTCATCAGGCAACACGTCCTTATCATCTCCAGTGTTGGTTTCCTCGTCAGGCAACACGTCCTTATCATCTTCAGAAATGTCTTCCATTTCAGTGTCAGACTTATCTTGTTGTTTGGTAGCTGAATCTAGCGGTCCTTTGTCATATTCACCACTATCACATATGACTTCGTCCTGAAATAAAGAAAATAAACATATTTATAGTTTATGTACGTACAATACTACACTCTGTGACTATTTCTAGTACACGACATACCTCGTCAGAAGGTCCACCATAATAAAGTCCAGCACTTTCATTGTCAGACATATCTGCTTCTTTTCTAGCAGATTCAGGGGCAGTTTTCTCTTCATCCTGTAACATAAAAAACATTATCATCGCAAACATAATGTATGTACGTACATTATCTTCGCAAACATAATGTACGTACACGACATACCTTCTCAGAAGGTGGAGGTACATCATCAACATTGTATTCTGAAGTATTCATTTTCTTCAGTCGAGGAGATCTTCTTGTTCCAATCTGAACATTTCGAGATTTCTTTACCATTGGCTTGTCCACCTTTTTAATAGGGCTTTTTGATACCCTGGAAGGTTCAGGTTGTACTTGTGTTTTGCCCTTTGGATTTAGAGCAGCACGAATCTCTTCACGGATGAACTCTTTTAATTCCATATGTAGTTTGTTCCTTTGTGCTTCTTGCCTCCTCATACACCGCCTTAGTTCAACAACATACTTATCAAACCTCTCATCTTCTAAACTTTCCCCAGCGTTGTCATTCTCTTCAGCTTAAACATTAATTTTCTGTTTTTTATTAGCAACCGGAGCTCTTTGCCGTAGTTGCCTCTTCCGGACTGCACCAACTGAGTTTATTTATGTTTTTATATTAGAGGAGTATTTTCATAAATGAGAAAATCGTTTGTACTTATGCTTACCTTTCTCTTCTGGCCGCAGCTGCTTTGGACACTCATCATGACCTCCAACCCATGTGTTTTCGGACCACTTGTGCCCATCTATCAGCTTGCACAAAATGTAATCAACTCTAGGATCCTCAACTTCCTTATTCCATACTAAGGATTCAGGACAATCAGTATCCTCTGGATCCACAATATAGGTGACATCCACCTATAAGATTTTGTTTTTAACGTCTTAGTGAATGTACGCATTATTTTATCATCCGATGTACGTATATTAGAAAGCGTACACACCTGATCTGCAGCTTCGCACTCCAAGATACTGGAAGTCCGGATTGGATGCATTTTGGCCAGATTTTTGACTGACCTCTGAGTGAATAAGTTTACATCTGCAGAAGAAGGAACTAGCTTACGAAGAGATGGGATAGTTTGGAAGGCAAAAAGCTGCATCGCTAGTGGGAAGCCATAGACCATATAAGACTGCTGCTTGCAACCAATTATCACATCTTCTATCTTTTTAGCGGATTTGAATATGGATATCCTGTCCAGTGTACGGTTGAAAGCAAGCCTTCCCCATGGGTATTTGCAGAAGAAATCAAGGTCTTTCGTCATCTCAACTGTCTTTGAAACAGGTCGGACTCGCTGCTTCTGACAGATTAGAACACCATCAACAATGATTATCAGCGCTAATGCTAGTCTCATCCATCCTGGCATTTTTTCTCTGTCTTCAAACTCACGACCAAATCATCAATAGTTGGAGACTTATTACCAAATAGAGCCTTCCACACAGAAGTACATCCCTTTTTCACCGTTACCACTTTCTCCAAAGCTTTTTTTTTCCGGATACTTCCCACACTCCAAACCGGTTATCCGATAAAATTCTCTTAATCCAAACCTCAGTGGATGACCACCAAAAACCATCCACATCTCATAACGTTTTTTGGTCACTAACTGACGGTAAATCATGCCAAGAACTAGCTTGCCAGAAAATGATACCATGTTAGGAGGGATATTAAAGAGCTCTCCAAAAGGAGAAGATAGGAGAAAACCCATTTCTTCAGTTCCTTTAAGGGCTGTTGCAATATCAGCAAGGCATTCCGGTTTGGAATACGCATTGATCTTCGTTTCAGTAGGGTACTTATCCAGAGCAAAAAGCCTCGGCGGTAACTCTTCACATCCTTCACCAGTATTACCTTCTTCAATCGGATCCATGCTTCCTGCAAGTTATGTGTAATAGAAATATGTCAGTTTATAATATCCATAACTAATTTAACATACGAACACTATAACGAATAAACCCTAGTAGGCCATTAATCATATACGCATTTTTTCAAAATCACTTAAAGTAGAAAAATTTAAAACTCCAATTTCGCGTACGTACACAGATTTGAACATAAATCTTCTCAATTTTCTATTTTGGCGCAAAAATCGATTTAGTTTGAAAACCCAGAAATATGGGGATTAAATCCTCGATTCGAAATCAGTATCCCCATATTTCCGATTCCTAAATCCCCATCCCCAATTAAATTTGATTTCGGTGTTTACAGATACTTACCCTGACTTGTGCTCTCGGGCTCCGGCGAGGGACTCGGAATCTCGATTCCCTTCTCCGGTGAACTATTCGCTTCACCCTTCTCCGAACTTTTCGCTACCTTCGCGCGGCGCCGAGTCTTCTTGTTCAATAGAATCTTTTTCTTCGCAGTCATCTGTACTCCGATATCTTACTCGTCGGAGATTTCTTTGCTTTTGGTCGTAAGATAATGAGAGATTTAAAGATGAATGGAAACGGAATTCGCCGGAATTTTCCCCTTTTTGGTCGTTTCCAAGTAAAAGAATCAAAATGAGATATTAGATTTTCAGAATGGAAACGGTTTGTACTCTGATTTTTCCTCCTCTTTCTCTTCGCTTTCTTCGCCGTTCTTCTTTTTTTTTTTTTAATTTAAATTCAAAAATATTTACAAACCAAATAAAACAAAATCAGAGAAACCGAACCAGCACAGTAACGTCTCTAGTTGAGGGACATTTTCGTCAGAAATCTGGCTAAATGTCAAACCGTGAAACCCTTTCCCCACTTTGTCAATTGGTGAGACAAATAATAAAAACTGTCCTTTTCTGAAAATTTCTTTATAGATTATTCGAATTTTACCAACATGCAGAAATATGTTGCTAATCCAGAACTCTTCTTACGATGAAACGTAAATAGAGAAGAACAGCCCACATATCAATCTTAGAGGATTGGGAATCTAATATTCAAGTGGAAGAGAATGAGGATAACATATGTTCGATATGTTAACGATATCAAATATTATATGGATGCTTTCTCTCTCTTAATCGACCTTATTCTTATTGGCAGCACCACATAACGATATCAATGTCTTACCATGTAAAAAAGGTTCAACGAAATGAAATTGTTGGAGGTGAATTGAAAAAATCAATCTCTGTTTGGTGATATCAAATATTCTTACATGTAAATATCACCAAACTGACATTTGATTTTTTTTTTTTCTTTCGAAACATCAAACTGACATTGATAATAAAAGATTTTGTAATGGCTTGATATGTAGATATTATCTAACTAATGTTTTTTTTTCTTTCAAAAAAATAACAATTTAAATTAACTAATTAATGGTTTTTTTTTCTTTCTATTATTTTTTAACTTGCACAAGATGATTGAGTTTCCAGTATACAAAATTCAATAGAAAAAATGTTTTGTGTTAAGAATAAACAGGAATAATACATCGATGGAATAATGCATCCTTTTTATTGAAAACAGAAATATGCCTCCTAAATTATTCGAAATTTATTGACATGCAGAAATATGTCTACTAATACAGAAAGCATTGCTACGATGAAAGAAATATAGAAAAGATCACGTAATCACCCACAAACCAATCTTTTTTTTTTTTCCACAAACCAATCTTAGAGCATTTAGAATCAAAATGCAAATAGGAGGGAACGAGGAACATATATTCGTTATCTAATATTATATGGGGAATAAAATATTGAATCACTAAATAATCATAATGTATATATTGTAATCATAGAAAATGAAAATCGATTTTATCTACTTTCCCATGAATGACGGGTGATACGTAACATGAAAATACTTTAAGTTGAAATAAATATATTTCTTGTCGGAAGACAAAATGGGAGTATTAGATATCCACTTAGTTTTTGCATATATTAAAAATAAATAGTCGTTGGAAATTTACATTTTTGATGGATAAGGATTAAGGACCATATCCAAAGTAATATTTGTATAATATGACCGGGCCAAATTGTTAGTCACGTTTAACCACAATCCTATATAACAATCCAAATTGTTAGTTACGTCCACTTAGAGTTTTATTGCCGTTTCCTTAAGATTATATAAAAAGCCATGAAAATTCGGTCAATGCGAGTGTGATGTTGGAGGGAAAACGGTCTATTTTCCCACGAGAAGTATCCCATCATAACAGATAGAGTCCAAACTTTAATCCCGGTCTATATGCCCTTAAAAACAATGTTTTATGTCTATTTCTCCCCGAAACGTAAGTTCAGTAGCTAAATCTCCCCGAATTAATACTTCGAGATCTATTAACCCACGTATCTGGGTTTCGTCGGTTTAGTGTACACCAATTCAGCCTTAACCATTTTAAAACCAACTTTAACCAAAACTAAACCGAAATTATCAAAAATTAACTCAAACCCGGCCGACCCATTAACGACCCGATCGAACTTTTTCTTCTTCTTCGCTTCAAAATATTTAGGGTTTCGATACCATCAATTTGACATCGCTAGGATTCTCTTCGTTTAAAAACAATAACAAAAGACTAACTTTTGGTTGATGAAATCAATGGGTCTTTGATATTGATAAGCTTTGATTAGTCTCTCTTCTTCGCCATGAAGATTCTGAGATTGATGAGATTAACCAAATCGATTTGGGATGCAAATTTGAGATTAACCAAATCGATCTCTTCTTCAAACTCTGTTTTTTATGGATTCAATGTGGTGAAGGTGAATACACTTAACATGGATGGGAAGAAGAAGAGTAAAGTGATAAGAGTTAGCTTTGTTGAGGAAGAAGATGATAAGAAGTATCATCATTGGCTTGATCGCAAGGAGAAGTGGGAAATCGCGGTTATGGTAAAGGTAAAGATCGTGGTGGTGGTGAAAGAGCTAATTCTTCGACGAGGACTGGTTTTGCGGCGAAGGCGGCGGGAATGACGAAGCTTCCATGGAGCATAATTTCTCTGTTTTTGAATGTCAATTGAACAGTAATGTGTCAATATAATAGACTGCTTTTGAAGTGCCTAAGCTTTAGTGGACTTAGTTTTATACATGGCTTGCTTGGAATCTCCATGTTTATGAAGAGATTAAGACATATACATACAATGGATTGGATTTTCAGAGATTATTGATTAACAGAGTTATGTGTATATGTCTAAGCTTTGATTAGTGTTTGTGTTTGACATTTATACAATTTCCTATTTAATATGTGATTCTCTCTTCACCTCTTTTGTTTCTTATAATCGAGACGATCGTGTTCTAGGATTTTGGCTGGTAAAAATCTTAATCATAAGTGGTTTAATAACAAGAAGAAAAGTGAATTCCAATTTTGACAATAAAAAAACCACCCAGATTTTGAAATCGGGTGAAAAAGAGAAATTTTTGACAATAACAAAACCCAGATTTTGAAATCGGGTGAAGAAAAGAAGAAGGAGAGGAAAGAAGAAGAAGGGTATTGGGTTTGTGTTTTAATCGGGTCAAAATTAGGTTTTCTTTGGTTATAAACGGTTAAGTAAACAATAACCGACGAAACCCAGACATGTGTCTTAATAGATCTAGAAGTATTAATTCGGAGAGATTTAGCTATTGAACTTACGTTTCGAGGAGAAATAGACATAAAACATTGTTGTCAAGGACTTATAGATCGGGGTTAAAATTTGGGCTCTATCTATTATGATGCGATACTTTTCGTGGGGAAATACACCGTTTTTCCGATGTTGGATACTAGTTGGTTAGTTCTCTTGGAATGTCCAACACTACAAGTGAAATTGTATGAGTTTTATCTTTAACATAGTATATAATGGACATAGATTGTTCACACACTCTTAGCTGATTTGGAGTAAGAAATTCATATTTCTTAAAAGGTATCAGAGTTCAAAGGTTAATTTAAAAGACAATTAAAATTTTATTGTGGTTTTTAATTTATTTTGTAATTTCTGAAATGATAAGTTGATTATACGATATAATGTTTTATATTGAAAATGAAGGACATCTAACAGTACTATATCAGAAATGAGCACTTTTATTTTTATTTGTTGAGTAGTTTCTTAAACATGCACCAACGGTCTATAAGTCCCAAATTCTCTTTCAGTTCGTGGATTCTATATTCTTCCGATGGCAGGTGCGATACTTCTAGAATTCTAATATTCTTACAAATGTAATTAGAGTCGAAGCCAGACAAATGTAAAGTCAAATGGGCTTACACGTGATAACGATCTGTTTTGCAACAAAAACGTTATGATTTGTTAGTGAAGCATGGCGATAAATAAAACCCCAATATAAAATGTTTTTAGATCCTCCAATGGGAGATATAAGTATGAGATCTAAGTATAAAAAGATCTAAAAAATAAATTTAAAAAAAAAAAAAAAAAAAACAATAGACTCATATCCAAAATTGGATTTTTAGACATTAGTTTGGATCTCATACGTGTCGCTATATTACTGGTGGATATATTTGTAGAAGAGGGAAATTTTTTTGACTCCGTGTTTTTTTTTTAATCTCTCTCTCTCTCCCTCTATCTCTCTCTCTCATGCACGGCAATTGAGCTCTGTCAGACGAAATCCGAAGCAAACGGAGGAGAAGATTGAGCTCGGACTCCTCGATGCGGCGTGAACATCATCTCCACTGACGCTGGTCACGATTGGCGAGTTGGGTTCAGCAATTTGGAGGTACTAGGTTAAGCAAATCCGCGACTTTCAATGAAGCAATCAGAGTATTTTCTTCAATAAATCGGCGTTTTTCCTTCACCAATCTCTTTCTGAGGGTACGAATCTCTTACCCATAATACAAATTGTTTTTTTACTTGAGGCTATAGAAATTAGGACTGCGATTTTCGAAAATTTAGGGTTCTTTGTTCTAAGTTAAATTGGGGTTAACTGAAGACGAGTAGGGCATGATTGTGCTTAGGGTTAGACTGTTTGTTCCCATGTTTCTGGTCCATAGTATCGATTCATCCATTAGCCATGATTTGGTTCTCACCGCATCAATTTAATCAAGTTTCTTTTGGTTTTCTTTGCTGAAGTTTGATTGGAGGCCCATCGAAGTTTGCTCTGCTCATATAATGGAACATGAATCTTGTAACACAAACAACTTATACACATTTTTTCAAAATTTGAAATTTTTAGATCCTCACTTTTTGGATCTCACCATTGGACTGTCTCAAAATAAAAAACACTCAAACATTCTAAATTTTTTATTTTCCATTGTTAAAATTATAAATCTTGTTTGGATCCAACCATTGGAGGTGCTCTTATAACACTTGCAGAAGACAAAATGAGTTTACGTAACCGATGTGGACAAACGTCAAAAAGCAAAGAGAAAATATTATGGGTCCGAATGGTAATAGCGTTTTTGTTGTGTGGGAACATCGTTATTATAGTGCGGTACGGTTCAACTGCGGTATATGCAGAAAAAACGTATTTGCGGGACAAGTGTGGTTAGTACAAAATAAGCGGTACAAAATAACGTTTGATTGGTAAAAAACTACACACTAAAATGTTTGAATGGTAAAAGAGCAACAAGCGGTACGTATTACAGATTATAGATAAATATGTTAGAATTAAATATATTAATAATTATAAATTATTATTATTTTCTGAAAATGAAGAAACATTTTCATAGATTTATGAATCTTAAATATTCTAATTGATCTAAAATAAAGTTTTTTGATATAATTATTGCTAAATCTTTTAAAAGTTTCAACCATAGAAAAGCACAATAATAATAATAAAAACTGTTGTGGCTAATATAATAAATAATAGTATGCTAATGCCTAATATTATGGAGACAAAATTATGAAAAGATATTTCACAATTACACTCATGCCCATGGTTGAAATTATGATTATAGAACAAATTACAAAGACATTACCTCAAAATTTGTGGAGATGAAAGATAAAGTCAAAAAGGAGAAAAAAAAAAAAGAAAAGGAGAGAGAGAGGTGTTACGTTAGAGTGAAAGAATTTTTAGATATGTATTACAACACATATATTCTTGTTTTTAATATTTGCAAATTAAAAATAAAAATATATGGATAATTCATGCGGATTTGGATGGACCGCACCACAGCCTTCTCCACGCTGTTATATATATGAGTTTGTAAGCCTTCGTTATTTTCTGTCATATTTGTTTTCAAGTGTTAATTTATATAACGATTACATATATATTTTAATGATATTTTTAGGTAACGGATATTTATCCGGTTCCAGATATCGGATCACAAAAATATTGATACCTGGATCCGGATCCGTTTTAAACGGATCTATGATTCTATTATCCGGATCCGGATATCCTTTTTTTTGGAGCGGATCAGAGCGGATCCCGGATAATAGTCCTAGCCCTAGTTTAAATTTGCGATTTTATCTATTGTTATATTCTCTTTGTCCCATTTTATTAGATGTTTGGACTAAAGCAGAAAAATTAAGAAATAATAAATATTTTCTTATTTATAAAAATCCAACTAATAAAAGAAAATATTGTATAATTAAAACAATTAAAAATTATTAAATTAATATAAATCATTTATTGAAAGTAAAAAAAATCTTATATAATAGAAAGGAGTAATAAAAAAGCAGAACACGGATCAAACACTAGTTTACAATATTATAAAATAAAATTTGAATCACAAACTTCATGGTTGCCGACATGAGTTCTATATACGTGTATTTTAGTTAACAGCAAACGATTGGAAATGATTTAAAAAAAGTAAGATGACGTGTCATTTATTGCCCCAACAAAATATCTTAAAACCCACTTAAAAAGTAACGCTTTTTCATTTATTTCCATTGACCGACACAACAACACGTTACGTTCTCTCTCCTTTTTCTTCTTCTCCGATCATCAATCTAGGGTTTACTCTCACCGGCGACGAACAATGATCCACCTCCTTTACACAGTGATCTTCGCCGAAATGGCACTAATCCTTCTTCTCCTCTTCAAAACTCCTCTCCGAAAGCTAATCATCCTCACCTTCGATCGGATCAAACGTGGCCGTGGTCCCGTCGTCGTGAAAACCATCGGAATTACCGTGTTCATCGTTCTGTTGTCGAGTATCTACAGTTTAGTCAAAATCCAACGCCGATCTGAAGATGGTGCTGTTCTTAATCCTACTGATCAAGTTCTTGCTTCGAAGTATCTTCTCGAAGCTTCTCTTATGGGTATAATCACTAAATTTTCGATCTCTTAATTCAGTAAGAAATTGATTTTAGGAATAATTAGGGAAAAATTGTGATCCTTAGATCTGATATGAATTTGATTTGCTTTGGGGTTACTCTTCATTTGGTTTTGATTGAGGTTTGTGATGATTCTGTTAAATCTGTGATTAAGGATATAATTAGGGCAAATCTTGATCCTTAGAATTCAGATATCAGATTTGATCATAATACCATTCTAATATGAATCTGATTTGCTTAGTGTCACTCTCTTAGATTAGTAAGAATTGTTTGTTGGATTTGTTATTGAATTAAGGAGTGTAATTAGGGAAAATTGTGATACTTAGGTCTGACCATATTACGAATCTAATACGAATCTGATTTGCTTAGGGTTAACTCTTTGAGGATTGAGGTTATTGAATTTTTCTATATTTCAGGATTTGTGTTGTTTCTCTCGCTTATGATTGATCGACTACACCATTACATTAGAGAGCTTCGGTTGTTGAGGAAGACAATGGAGACTGCGAAGAAGCAGAACAGAGGTTTTGAGGATGGAAAAAACACAAGTGGGGAGGAAGTGAAAGCAATTGGGGAAGAAATCGCGGCGTTAAAGGCGAAGATAAAGACATTGGAATCGGAGAGTGAAAGCAAAGGCAAAGAACTAAAAGGTGCACAAGGTGAAACAGAGGCTCTGAGAAAGCAAGCTGATGGGTTTCTTATGGAGTATGATAGGCTTCTTGAGGATAATCAGAATTTGAGGAACCAGTTGGAGTCTGTTGGCCACAGTCCTGAGGGAAAGAAGGGTATGTAAAATTGAGCAAAGAAAAAGAAAACTAAGGATTCTGTTTTGTAAAGAACAAAGTAACTTTAGGAAATGTGGCTTTGCTGATTTTTGCTTTATGTATTATGCTATAACGTCTCGTCTTTGAATGTATTTTATTCTATATATTGCATGCAACTAGTAGGTTCAATACGTTATCATCCACCTGAGTTTCCGTTAATTATCGAGTGAGAACAAGTAACGAATCGAAAGAAGAAGAGGAAGAAGGTATTGCAATGGGGGTTGATTATTACAAAGTCTGATAGGTGGATCCATATGCAAAAGACCGTGATTTGCAGAAAGACTTCGATATTCTACCGTATATATGAATCCCTTATCAGGTTATTACAAAGTCTGATAGGTGGATCCATATGCAAAAGACCGCGATTTGCAGAAAGACTTCGATATTCTACCGTATATATGAATCCCTTATCAGGTTATCAAGGATTTCAAAATGTCAAAATTCATGGGTTGATATAAGCTAAGCAAATTTCTCCATCAATTCTTTGATTGTCTAACATTGTGTAAAAGACAAAAAGGATCTGAATACCATGTCTCATACTACTAGCTTTCTTTGAGTTGTCCCGTTGTATATGTTTTTCTATCTTTTGGGGTTAATGTAGACATAACATAACAGAAAAGAGCAAAATAGAAGACATAACATAACCTTGACTATCACTTTGTCTCATATTTTATCACTCTAGCTTGTCCAGTTCTGACATCCTCTCGATGATCGCCTGCAACAAAGAGGTAATAGAAATCTCGAAGCAACACAATTTATCCATCAGTATTTTTCCATAAAAAGGACACAAGCTTGATATGGTATGCCAAACAAGAATCATCATCATTTGAGTATTTTCATAAAGCACTTAAATATATCAGGGAGAATTTGCTAAACATAGGTAAAGAAGAAACAATTACACAAACATTTATGGTAAGAACGAAACAATTCTTCCTCTATTAATCCTGAATTGCTGGTTACAATCAAGAACACAACACCAAGCCTTAGATACTTGTTCATGAATTCTCTTACTCTCCCACTAACCAATTGGTCCAAAACCGCCTAATCTATTTTCCCTCTTTCTTATTAAAACTATTCTAGTGCCAATCACATTCTGTCTGATAATCAAATGACTGAGACACATTTTGGTAAGAAAGCAAGAAGTTTTAGTACCTTGTGGAAGTTAAACATTAAATCAAGCTCACAGACATAAATCAGAGATATCAGTACCTTACCACCATAAACGATATTAAAAGGGGGAAAAAAATATGAGCATTTTAAAGACTTGTGATAAAAAAAATATAATTTAATGTTTTTTTATTTCCTCAACAGAATTCATACTAAAATTGATTCAAGATCGGTCATATTCGTTTGGCAGTCGCCTGCGACCAACGACTGCGACCAGCGACCAATCGCAGCGACTGGTTGCACCGACCAGAGACCCGAATTTTCAGTCGCTAAAATTTTCAGCGATTTCCAGCGACTGGTCGCTGGTAGCCAGCGACTGCGAAACGAACAATATAGCGACTACAAAATAAAATAAAATTAATACTTAAATAAAATTAATTTAATTTAAAATAAAATAAAATAAAATAAAACAAAATACAATAAAATTAATAAAATAAAATTAAGATTAATTACATTGGTTTAAATTTGCTTAAATTGAACTAAACTAGATTAAATTAAATAATAAAATAAAATTAATTTAAAATTTTATAATTTAAATTAAATTAAATGAATTGTTTAATTAAATATTAAAAAATATTATTAAGTTTCTAAAAAATGTATAGTATATAACGTAAGTTTTATTTAAAATTAAAATTTTCATAAAATAATAATTTCGAAATTAAAAATATTCAAAGAAATAAAAAAATATGTAAAATATAGCGACTGATCGCAGCGACTATCAAACGAACAACACAACGACCAGTCGCAACGGCTATCAAACGAACAACAGAAGTAGTCGCTCATCGCAGTCGTTGATCGTTAGTCGCCAGTAAACGAAAAGGCCATTGTCGTCAATGACTATCAATAACAATATTAAAAATATAAATAGGTTATGAGTTAATTTTTGTTGTTTATACCTTTGGGGGTTCTGTGGATGTCGGATTCACACACTCAAGTATTTATTTATTTAGTGAGAAGGATTATTCTTGAGGACAAAAGTTGTGGTAAAAAAAAAACTATGAATCGAAAATGACTATAGTGTATTCGTTAGAAAAATTGCGTCCCTTTTACATGGCACTTGGCCCTCTTACTTATACTTGTAAATGACATTCAATTCCTAATTAAATACAATTATTCTCTTAAATAAGTCTGTTTCAGTCTTTGAATTTATTGTCCTAACGTTTGAATTTGAATTGACTCCGATCTTCATGGGCCTCGCCTTTTAGCCCAGATAATCCCAAACCGACCTATCCTTGACTTCGACTTCGTTCCCCCACCTCGCAGTGTGGTCACTTCGCGCGTATCCTTCCTTTTTGTCCCGAGGAACTCATGGGCCCTATTTTTTGCCTACATGGCAATCTTTGGTTGGTCCCGAACTATCTGTGCGGGATCCGACACCAACAATTAGCCCCCCAAGTCCTTCGAAGTGTTACTTCAATTCGGAGGACTTTAATGCTTCAATGACCAAAGATTGCGTTTTGGGAATCCTCTAATTTCCCGCCAAGATTCCATCAATCCTTTAATTTGGGCTCTATCCATATTTATCTGCGTGACATCTGTCATCATTATGACCGTATCTTAACTAATTACTATTAAAGTGGAAAAAACCTTCCCACTTCTCCCACGACTCCCGAGGCGGTTCCGTCATCACCACTTAGCTTGCGTGAGGTAACTTCTTTTCATTTTTCACTTTTACTCTTCTCCTTTTTAGATTAAAATCTCTCTCTGCTTCTCTCGTCAAATTTCTTTTCTCCGAACCTCGAATTCTTCCACCTTTCCCGATGAATTCCGATTCCGATAGACCCGAGTCCCCGACTTACGACGAAAGAGGTTCTAGCAGAGACGAATGCACCCGTCCTAATGACATCGTTGGTCCTCACTACAGATCCACCTGTACTCTTCAATCTCTCGAACGATTGAAAGAGCTTTGCCGGATTCCGCCTGGAATCATGGCGGAGTCGCAGATAGCCGGTCCTACGGAGTCCCCGGAAAACCATCGCGTTGGCTACTTCTGCGTGTACGAGATCTATTTCAAGGGCTGCGGATTAACCTTTCCTCTCCCTGAAGCCCTAGTCCGATACTTAGCAGCTCTTGAGATTGCTTTACCTCAATTAACCCCCAATCTTCTTCGAACCATCCTTGGGATTATAACCGTTTCGGCGGAGGCCGGGTACATTATCGGAGTCCCCGAACTGAATGAGCTTCTAAGCGTGAGAAGTTCGTCGATGCTTCAAGACTCGAACAGGTGCGGTCCTACCAGCCTTCGACAAGTGGCGCTCCGCAATCCGCGAACGCTTCTTATTTCATGCTTATCATTCATATCGGGTTAGTTCCGCCTTACTTTTCCGGTCTCGTTTTTACTTTTCGTATTGACTTACCATTTTGGGTTTGTGCTTAATACTAGGCAAACAGTGAGCTCAACGACATGGTTGAACATTATGAAGGGCTGTTGCTCAATCAGGAACAGGAGATCGATACATGGAAGGACAAGTTTTCTGCTCTCGAGGCTGACCTCCGTTCTCTTTCTGACTCTAAGTAGGAATTGGAAGACCAAGTCGACCAATATTCATCCAAACTCTCGAAGACGAAAGATGAGCTGCAAGACCAGTACAGCCGGAATGAGCGACTTGAAGTTGAACTTTCTAGTGTTCAAGGTAGACTTTCCGAGTCTGAATCGACTGCTTATTCTTTGAATAACCAACTCGTCAAACTTGACGCGAGGTACAAAGTGGTCGTCAAGCTGCGAGATTCAGAGTTGGCAAAGTCGGCATCAAAGTCCAGAAAGGAGGTCAAGGGACGCGGGATGGAGCTGATTCAAGGGGCCATCCGCTTCATTCAAACCGAAAAGGCGCGATCTGAGCTTGAATCGGATATCAAGGAACACGAGAGCAATCTACTCTTGTTAGATCAAATCCATGAAGAGGATTTCTCCTTTGCAGCTCTTCCCGTTTCATCCTTCAACCCTCACCAGTTCGAGGAATTCTTCACCGAATCACCTCCCTTGGGTGAATCGGGTCTAGACTGGGCCGGTAAATCCCACTCTTGACACTCACTATTTACATGCTTTGTGTTTTTGACTGACTAGAACTATCACTCCCAGGTTCAAGTGAGCCGGAAGGTGCTGCCCCATTCGAGGTTCCTGCTGTACCGGTGGTCACCTCGGAAGATGACTGTGCCTTCGGGAATGAGCAGGGAACTTCTTCTGAACAAGTCTCGGCCAAGGAACCGAATGAAGCTTTGTTAAATCAAAGTCGAGCCCGAGGTGGCTGCTGACCCGTAGTGGCTGCATCCACTCTAAACTGGGGCTTGTCCCGTTCATTTGAAAACTTAAAATTTATCTTTGGACATGTTTTTGCCTAAGGAGGCTTCTTTTTCATTTTTAAAACAAGATATTTGCCTAAGGAGGCTTTTAAACCTTTTCAAGTTATAATCCCTAGAGGATTTGGTTAAAACAGTGTGCGGGTTTGCAAAGTCCGCTTTTAACACCTTTTGGCCTTGTGGCTATGTTTCGAGATTTTTAGGCTGATTAGACATTTCTCTTAGAGTGCGAGAACTGAGCTCGGCTTAACGCGAGTTTCCCACTTCGGGTTTAGTCAACTCGGTAAATTTGTTGGGCTTGGGCCTCAAAAAACTTTTTGTACTTAATGGGCTTTTCGCCTTAAATGCGACGGTTGCTCTTTCCCTTTCCCCTCCTTGGAAAATAGAAAAAGCTACACGTCTTTAAGGCAATAACTGCCTTTTCTCAATTTCCAAAAACGGTTTAAACCACTCGGGCATGCTACCATTATTGGATTTACGGTTCCAAGACAAACCCTAAACCATTATAAACAAGGGCTTATCTACCTCTGACCTTTCTTCAAATACGACTTCAGAATCTTACTTGAGAAATATTACGAGAATGGAAAACAAAGATGTGACCCCCGTCGACCCTGGCAGCCCACTATTCTTGTCCGGCGATGGTTTCGAGCCGGCCAGTGTTCTCTTTCCTCACGCCGTATTTCACTTTCCTTCGAAGGAGAAGAAAGAGGCTTGTGACTTTATGGATAAGGTTAGTATTCGACCTCTTTGGTCAGAATTTTTTGCCCCCCCCCTTTAGTTTAACTGTCTCCATGCCAGGTCGTCGACAAACATCGCCGTTTGTGCGATGAGAGACAGCGGCTAGGTCTTAAAAGGCAAACATTCGAGGCTCGCATTGCTCGAGTGGAGAGGAAAGTGAGGGCTTTGGAGAGTGATCCCTTTCAATGGGAGTGGAGGAACTTTGATTCTATTGCAGAGATCCCGAAGATGCTCCAAATGTATCTCCGTGCTAAAGGCCAAGTTCCGGGGCCCGTGAATGCCCCGGTCGAAATCGATCCATCCGACAGCGAAGAGGAGGAGGGCAGCATCCATCGAAAACGCGTTCGGAACGAGCCCGAAGTGGGTAGCAAGAACGAGGCATCCACTTTGGATGCTAAATCGGCGATGGAGGAGCCTGTTCCTGAGCCCCTTCCATAAATGTCCCGAACTCCGTTTTCCTTACTTTACCTTGTTTTTTTATTTTTAAACTCGTAATGGGCTTCGGCCCATTTTGTTTATGGAAAATTTTACTGCTTTCTTTTTTCTCAAAATATTCTCGGAGATACGTCTTAAATGTAGGATGCTTTCCTTTTTCTCAAAATATTCTCGGAGATACGTCTTAAATGCAGGATTGGTTAAAGGGCATAAATCCTTTCGCGAATCACTCCGTTCCAGGATGGAAAACACGGCCTACTAGGAATACGATGTCCTTATAAATTGTAACTTCACCTTTTCTTTATTTCCCATCATCCTCTTTTCTGTTTGCAGATATGGAATTCAACCTTAGATGTTCGGAGTCCATGTCTGATTTCTCCAGGGTCAGAATGATGGATGGAGATGCTCCAAATGTGCCAAGTAGGCGGCCTTCTCCACCTCGCGACTTCTTCAGATCCCAAATCCGAGCTCTGTGTGCTTTGATCAAGGACCTCCCAGACAGAGATCAAGAAACAAAGATGGCATTCACAAAGGCGTTTGCGATTCGACCAGAAGCTGACACTGGAGAGGAGGAAACTCCAGAAAAAGATACATCGAATGCAGCGCAGGGTTACCGCGATATCGAGAGACCTTTACATCCTTAACTCCCACCCCGGAGATTGGACCGAGCTTGGAATCTCCGAATATGCTCGCATTCCGGACTGTATGATGCCAATTCTCGACCTTGCTGGTCAAGGAGTTCAAGTGTTCTGCTCACCGAATAGAATTTCCTAACTCAAAGTGCATGTGCGACGACACTCCGGCTTTTTTGCTTACTGCCGAATAAATGTTGTTTCATTTCCTACTTCTGTATGTTCGCCTAGTCAGACCTTATTTACATTGTCCGTTCGCATAGTGACTCTT